TAAATAAACCAGATTTATTTACTCAATTTCTTATTGCTGAATATTTAGATGGTTATTAATTTCTCAAATAAGAATGCTGTCATGGGTCTAGAGAGATGGATCAGCAGTTAAGAGCACTGGCTGCTCTTGTAGAAAACTGGGGTTCAGTTCCCAGCACCCACATGGCTGTTAACTGTCCATAGCTCCAATTCTAGGGGATCCCATGCCAACTTCGACTTCTGTGAGCATTGTACACACATGGCACACTTACACACTGGCAAAACACTCATAAACATAAAATAAAAATAAAATAAATCAAAATACTGTCACATCTAATGCTTGTTAGTTAAAAAGAGGCATTGGTTGTTTTCTGTGTTTCAGGTATTTCTGAGATAAAATTAATTTAAAAATAGGGGGCTGGAAAAATGCCTCAGAGGTTAAGAGCACTGACTGCTCTTGCAGAGGACCTCGGTTTGATTCTCAGCACCCAAATAGTAACTCCAGTTCTAGGAGATCTGACACCTTTTTCTGACCTCTGAGGGCATTGCACAACATGGGTGCACTTACACACCTGCAGGCAATACACTCATGCACATAAGATAAAAATAATAAAATATTTTAAAAATTATTTTAAAAAATAATATATCTAATTTGTGATAATGTTCTCAATATATATTCCTTTTTTAAAAAAGTGCTGGGGATAAAGCCAGGCATGGTAGTGCATACCTTTAATTCCAGCACTAGAGAGCATAGCCAGGTGGAGCTCTGTGAGATCCAGGTTAGCTGGAGCTGCAGGGACACTCTGGCTCAAAATGAGCAAACAAATCTGGAAATCAAACCCAAGGTCCTGCACATGCCTAGCAAGAGATCTACCACTGAGCTTTATCTCCAGCCTCCTTAGTATATATTTTTTGAAAAATTATGAGTCAGGACTAGAACTAGTCATGAATTATAGGAACTCTGTAGGAACTTGGCAGAAATCCTTGATGTGTACTTGAGGATGCTTCCCAGAGTGCTCTCTCTCAGTCCTCACACACCCTCCAGTAATGAGGGAGCACTTCCCTCATCACAACTGGACTCATATCAGTTTTTAAGTCTTTGATAATTTGAATATCTGTCATTTTTCATATTTTCCATCTCTTTCATTATAGAAGAATCTAAATTACATGGTTAATTAACCATTACCTTCCTTAGTAAGTTCTGCAGTGAGTGGGTCATCCATTTTTCTGTTGGAAATGTAGTATTTTTCAAATCAAAAGGGAGTCAGGGAAATGGTTCTAAAATCTGAGAGGAAAGTGCTTCCATTTTTCTCTTTGTAAGTGGAAATAAGATAATCCCTCACAGAGAGTAACTGTACAGATGAAGAAGAGGTACATGGAGCACTCTGTCTGGTGCATATGCTCAAACACAACCACACACAGCATAAGAATTTATAAATTATTGGAGCTGGAGAGATAGCTCAGTGATTAAGAGCACTGCCTGCTTTCCTCTTCCAGAGGACACAAGTGGACGCACATACATGTAGGCAAAACATTCATACACATAAAACAAAAATAAATTTAATTTAAAAAATTATAAATTAATTGTATGTTAAAAATATAGTAGCGGGGCTGGAGAGATGGCTCAGTGCTTAAGAGCACTGGCTTTTGCAGAGGACCTGGGTTAGGTTTCCAGTACCCATATGGCAGCTAATAATTATCCATAACTCCATTTCTAGGGAATCTGATGCCCTTTTCTGACCGTCATAGATATTGCATGACATAGGTACACTTACATACATGCCAGCAGTACACTCAAACACATAAAAGTAATAAAATATTTTTTTAAATATATAGTAGCCACATATGAGATACTTTGTTTTTTGTAATATAGTTTAGTCACATTTATGATTTTATTTGCTATAAGGAAGGATTTTAATTTTTAAAAGTCAAATTTATCAACCATTGCCTCTATAATTTCTAGTTATCCTCTTGCCTCAGCCTTCCAATAGCTGGTCTTACAGGCCTGAGCTATGAGGCCAGCTGTGTTGTCACTATAATTTCTTACATTGTTTTCTTTTTCTTATAAGGCATTTTCTAGCTAGAGATCAGATAAAAGCTTTTTAAAGAAAAAATTTCACTGAAGTCTTTTAGCTCTTTAAATTTATCTATAAGTTATTTTTACATATATCTGAAATGAAAAAATTAGTTTTTCTCAATAGCTAATTTCATCAAAATATAATTATATGTAATAAACACACAATTCATTACTTCCCCATTAATTTGTGATAACTTCTTTGTCATATACAATTATATGTAGCAAATATAATTATTCATTTTTATTGAAAATGAGTAAAATATGTTAGAAGTCTTAGGGTCACTGAAAAAAAAAGTCCAGTCTGTAAAGTTCACCCTTTTTTAACATAAGGTCTTTTGTTCCCCACCATCAAGAATTAAGTTCAACCTTGATACAATTTCTATTGTTTGGAAACTTATTTCCAGAGAAGTAAAGAATCTCTGAAAACAGAAATTGGAGTCTTTAGCAAAATCTCTTCCCTATTTCCATAAAATTGGTCTGAAATCATCAATATCTGAATCATAAAGTCTGAATCATTTTAAATCGACCAACAAGACTTTACATACCTTTTCATGCTTGGAGCCAATCAGTAGGTAAGTGGGGCCTTGGTCTTTGGGGTGGATAACTATGGTGTAATGAGTGGACAACAGACTACGTCCACTGGCTTCATAATCTTCGTCTGAATCACAGGACCTGTCCACCTCTTCAACTTTTGCCTCCCAGAGTTTGAGCTGACCTAGAGGAAACTGAAGCAAAGGTTAGTAATTGTAAAGAAGGCACTTTCTTGGTTTTTTCCTACTTGAAGTTGCATGGTCCTTTTTGTTTTTATCTTTAAAAAGCATACTTAAAAAAAAAAAGAATCTAAGCTAGGCGTGGCGGCACACGCCTTTAATCCTAGCACTTGGGAGGTAGAGGCAGGTGGATCTCTGTGAGTTCAAGGCCAGCCTGGTCTACATAGTGAGTTCCAGGTTAGTTGGGGATACAGAGAAACCCTGTCTCAAAAAGATAAAGAAAAAAAAAAGGACTCTAGATAGATTAGCCACACTTACAAATGTAGAAGCAACAAGCAAAAATCCCAACTGTAATAGAAAATAACAAAGTGAGTACTAGACTTAACTTCTGAGGAAAAAACAAGAATCACTGGTTGAGATTATTCAGTGGGACTAACATGACCAATTATTTGGTCAAATAACAGTAATATTTCATCCAACATACTCAGTGGATTTGTTTTCCCTACAGAATTGATTGGTAAGTTGATTAAGCAAGTGGGTCAAAAAGAAAAGTATAGACATAGTCTCAGTATTGTTCACAGAAAAAAATAACTAGGCATCTGGTACAAAGAGCACCCCAGACTGCCATAAATATCTAGTGTTCTAATACTCTTTGTTGAAGTATGCTCCACATCTCCCAGTAATGCAGTGATTCTTTCCATTATCATTAAAGGGTAAGAAAACCCTCCTAGAGCTGGTTTTGTTCAATTTTATCTACTCTCTTTTACTGACCAACATAAACATATCTTCCATGTTAGATATTCAGCATATCTGTTTTAAAACTTTTGTTTTAATTAAGGACATTACACAACCTGCTTCAGATTTACAACCTCTAAAATTTTTGGCCAGGTGTGCAATTGCAGGGTTTTTTTTTCTTTTTTCTTTTCTTCTCATTATATGGCCGGGCAGGCTTCAGACTTGCCACCATCCCCCTGTATCAGCCTTCTGGTACTAGGATTACAGGTATGCACCTCCATACTAGGCTACAATTATATTTTAAAATCCATTCTAACCACAAGACATTTACTATTACCTGTTTTCATGCTGAATCCCAAGGCTCGGTGCTTGGACTCTTTGTCCTGACCACCTACACACACTGTGGGTGATCTCATGCAAGCTTGTGGCTTTAATCCAAGCACATACTCCCAAGTGCCTAACTCCAGCTCACAATCTGTACTTGGAAGTCTAACAGCATCTCAAGATTCCTTTGACAAGCCTACTTCAACAACCTCCCAGGCTCCTTTGCACCTGGTGATTTTATCTTTCCAGCTGTTTAAACCAAAACCTGTCATCATCATTGACCTTTTTCTTTCTCTCTTATATCATACCTTTCTAATCAGTAAATTCTGTCAGCAAGACTTTGAGAAAATATGCAGAAGCTGGTCTTCTTATGGCTCCATTGCCACCATTAATCCACGACTGTCTCTTGGCTAGATTACTGTACTACTCTCTTAGCTATAATCTTAGTCTAGGCCTCAGTAGAAGCCCAGTGCTCCTAGCAGACATGGGTAAGACCATGTGCCTGCTCTGATCAAAATTCTCCAGTGGCTTCCTGTCTTGCTCAGGGTAAAAGCTGAAGGTGACAGAACAAGCCACACCAAAAGATACCTCTTTGGCATAAAGATAATTTTGAATTAAAGGGATTTTTAAAAAGCAACAAATGTTAAAATAATAGATGTAAGAAAGGCACCCTGACTCTCCTCCCCGTTTTCTTCTCCAGGGCAGGAGCCAAAATTCCCATGTGGAAGATAGCTTTCTTATAGCAGAATGGAAATACTCTGATCAAGGAAAAGCTGAGGCCAAGAGAAGCTACCTTGTCGGCACCTCTCCACCCAGGCAGCTATGGCAGTCCCTCGGCCTCCTAGGCGGCTTACTCTCTGTCCAGTTTAATAGATGAGTGTTTATGGTCTTCATTTCCTGGTAAGTCCCCTGTCTCCTATACAGCTTATATTAAATGTATACCTTTCTCCCATAATCCCTCTCTTGTCAATTCTCAGGCCTACTGAAAACCCTACCAACACAGAGGTAACATTTTGTCTGTCCTGAATGCATGAAATCTGGGGGTGCAGAAAGGGGAGGGGTTTAAAAATAATTAAGACATACTGTATGAAATGCACAAAAATTCAATGGAGAATATTGAAAAAAAACTGAAGTTCGGTAACTTTCAAAGTTTCACCTTTTGAAAAATTTACATATTTTAAAAATTCTTTTCGGGGCTGGAGAGATGACTCAGCAATTAAGAGCACTGGCTGCTCTTGCAGATGACCAGGGTTTAATTCCCAGCACCCACATGGCGGCTAATAGCTGTTGGTCTGTGACCCAACTTCCAGGAGATCTAATGCCCTCTTTGGGCCTCTTCAGGCATTGCACGTATGTGGTACACTTACATATATGTGGGCAAAACATTCACACTATAAAATAAGAATTACCTCCAAAAAAATTTTGTCTGTCTTAAAAAGCCAACATTTTTACTTGGACAAATAAGACCCTATATGATTCAGCTCCTGTTACAGAACTGAGCTCATCTCCTACTGTTTTCCTCCTAAAGGATTAAATCCAGTCACACTGACCTTACCTCTCCCAAGACACCAGGCTTTGGGGCCTTTGCACCTGGTTGCTCCCTCTGACTAGCATACACCAGGCACAAATATTCACATGGATGTTCTTTTACTTCCTTTAGATCCAGTTAAAATACCATAATCTCTGGGGCTGGAGAGATGGCTCAGCAGTAAAGAGCACTGGCTGCTCTTGCAGAGGACCCGAATTTGATTCCCAGAACCCACATGGCAGCTAACAACTGTCTGCAACTCCAGTTTCACGGGATCTGACACCCTCTTCTGACCTCTGTGGGCACTGCACGACACGGATGCACTTATACACAAGCAGGAAATACACTCATACACATAAAAGTAATAAATAAAATATTAAAAATGCCAGAGTCTCTTCTTATCTGTGTAGTGCATATAAAATGCAATAATATCTGCTGAGTAGTTGGTTAGTAGTGAAGATTGCTTAATTATATATATTGTCTTTCATGAAAAACATGATTCTTTTTAAGCATTCTTTTTAAAAATTGTTAATTTTATGTGTATGTGTGTATGTCTATGTATGCCACATGTGTATGAGTGTCCACAGAGGACTGAAGAGGGTGTCAGATCCTTGGAGCTGGAGTTATAGGTAGTTATGAGCCACTCAACAAGGGTTCTAGGAACCAAACTCAGATCCGCTGGAACAGCAGTAAACACTCTTAACTGCTGAGCCATCTCTCCAGCCCCAAAACATGATTCTTGACCCACTAAATAATAAATGTATACTGAGTAGTTACTATGTACAAAGCACCATGCTGGGCACTTAATGAAGAAACTTATAGAAGAAAAATGAAAAATTAACTTATCTAAACTTTGAGGGGAAAAGAAAGGTATCAAAACAAAAGCAAAATAATAGGGCAAAAGTCACACTGATAATAAAAAGTTTTAAAAAATGAAGAAAATGAATTATATTATAATAATACAAAGCAATACTATCCTACTTATGTGCTCTAGGCACAGCAACCCTATGAAAATCTAGGTCTCATCACCTCAGTATTTAATGTGGTTATTTCCTGTACCACAGGACTCATCTTATGCTCTCGTTTGGATATGAAGCATTCCCCCTGAGGACCCATGTATTGGCCTTGGTCCCCAGCTGGTGTGCTACTTTCAGAGGTTCTGGAAACTTTAGGAAGTGGGACCTAGCTGCAGGAAGTTGGGCATTAGGGGCATTTCTCTGGGTTATCTTGTCCCTGACCCCTTCCTGCCTCACCATCTGCTTCCTGTTAGTAATGAAAGGATGCTCCTCCACCACATTCCACAAACCACATGCCATACCCCTTCCTATGATGTTCTTCCCAACTGAATGAAGCCAAGCAACCATGGGCTGGACCCTCTGAAACCATGTGCCAAAATTAAACCTTCCACCCTGAAGTTGTTTCTGTCAGGTATTTTTTTTCCGTTACAGCTATGCAAAGGTAATTAATAAACCATGTTCCCATAACCAACCAATACAACCAGTGCTTTTAAGTATTATGATTTAATTTCTTCAAAGACATTGATCCAGACTCCAAAGTGGTTTTGGAAATGTCTACAGCACAAAGTTGGTCTACACAGATTCACACGTATGCTCAATACTTTACAGGAATAACAATGGATTTCTGTCATTATTATTTGTATTTCTGTGACTAACACTATTCGTTTTGGGTAAATTATCTTCTAACTATAAGAACAACATTCACTTATTAGAGAAACTTGGTAAGGCATTTTTTAAAAAAACATAACACTCTCCTGTAACCAACAGAAATCACTCAGCATTTTGATATAGTTCTCAGCTTTATCTAACCCGCCAGAACCCAGGGGAACACAATAAAATGAGGGTCAAAAGTGGGAAAAGAAGGCTCTGCTCTTCTAAGTCTTAGAAAGTACATTACTGAAAACTCCCTATGGCTAAAAATTAGAAATCAAGGCCCTACTGGGTTATTATCTCAGTAATAAATTAACACCAAGTTTCACCCTTACCAAAAGTTCTAAGTTTTACCTAGCAACAGAAAAGTCAAAAAGAAAACTCTCAGTCATCACAAGCAAAAATTTTCATCTAATTGGCACATTAAAAGTGCATACATATGCCGGGCATGGTGGCACATGCCTTTAGTCCCAGCACTCGGGAGGCAAAGGCAGGCGGATCATTGTGAATTCAAGACCAGCTTGGTCTACATAGTGAGTTCAGGTCAGCTGGGACTACAGGGAGACCCTGTCTCAAAAAGACAAAAGACAAAAAAAAAAAAAGCATACATAGCCGGGTGTGATGGTGCATGTCTTTAATCCCAGCACTGGGGAGGCAGAGGCAGATAGATCTCTGTGAGATCGAGGACAGCCTGGTCTACATAGCAAGCTGGGGCTACAGGGAAACCCTGTCTCAAAAGACAAAACAGACAAAGAAAATGCATACATACCTTATCTTCTTGACTACGAAAATAATACAATATCTTTCCAACAAGTGTGCACCAGACTCTCTTGGAATATCCATGTTTTACCTGAAATTACATTTCAGTGAATTAAAATGTTGTTCAGAAGACTGGGAATTTGCAATACAGCTTATAAATTCTCTGAGACGTGCTACAGGTACCCAGTTTGCCCAAGTACAAGTGATAATCCAGTTGGATTGTTCAAATGCTAGAAGATTCACCTATAATAGCAGCTCACAGCAACAGCACAGCACCTTTGCTATGTGCTAAATATGACATTTAGGACCAGGACTAGGAGTCAAATACGAAAAGGCACCAGGCCAGGCATGGTGGCGCACACCTTTAGTCCCAGCACTTGGGAGGCAGGGGCGGGCAGATCTCTGTGAGATAGAGGCCAGCATGGTCTCCATAGTAAGTTCCAGGCCAACTGGGGCTACAAGGAGACCCTGACTCAAAAAAAAAGCACCAATTTCACAATTAAGTTTATTCATAGTTTCCTTACTTCATAGATTTCCAATATCCCTGCGGCCCTATGGGTACCATTTTGATGTTCAAACTGAAAATAAAACTTAAATCTAGTGATTTCCCAAATGAAAACAATTTGTTTAAAACAATTGATGTTTTCTCTAGAAGGAATCACACAAAATGACACAATACTATTAAAAGCTATTACTATATTGAGGTTGAGTAGCTCCTCTACATTAGGTACACAGTGAGTGTCTGGGACAGAATTTGTATCTGGCTCTTGACCCGTATAAACAAGTTACAAACTTCTGCAAGACTTACAGTCTTGTGAGGAAGACATCAAATCAGCAGTATGCCATGTAACTTCACCCAAAATACATTTTTTCTAAAACTTTTTATGATTTTTTAAAATTTGTACATGTGTTTTGATTGCCAGTATGTTTACTGGTACGTGTGTAATGCCCTTGAAGGCCAGAAGAGGGTGACAGAGCCAGAACTGCTATATGGGTGCTGGGTGTCGAACCCAGGTCCTCTGGAAGAACAGCAGATACTTTTGACCCCTAAGCCATCTCTCCAGTCCCTAACCCCTGAGTCATCTCTCCAGTCCCTTTTTAATTGAGTATTGTGGGCATTTCATAAGTTGGTGGCTTGTAAAAGTCTGTATCATGAGTTTCAACCTGCATTAGCCCTGCGCAGGTACAGGCACTATACCAGGCAGTCCCCACTATGTCCTCTATGCTAGAAGAACATGAAACCCATTTTTATCAATGGGTAAGACTAAGATAAAGCCCTACTACCCATCCCAGGACACATTGTGCCTGGCTGAGCCTGCTCTGTAATTCTACTCCCCTGCAGTGGTCCTGACAACACACATGGCCAACATCTGCCTCAAAGCTAAACCTTCTGCTGCAATGTAAGAGTGATCTAGTGTCAGTGTGATCCAGGCCACAGCCTGGAAACCACAACGAAGGACAAAATTCTATTGTCAGGCTTACCAATGTGAAAAGAACTACTGAGAGCAATGAATACAGGAGGCGAGAGAGTGCTTGGGGGAGGTGAAGAGGGAGTTACAATTTAGACTAGATGTATCTGGTGAGTCTTGGCAATAGCAAGGAGGCCTGATTGAGGCTGAGGGAGGAGGGGAGAGGCTCCTGGGGAAGGATACAGACTTGGCAGCCTCTTGCAGATTCTGGAAATGACTTAAATTAAATGACGTACTCTGATAACAATGCATTGGGAGAATGAAAATTCCCGCCAAAGCAGATTTTTAAAAAAAATCATCTATTATTTTTATTTTATGTGTTATGAGTGTTTTGCCTGTGTGTATGTAAGTGCACCCATGTTGTGCAATGCCTTGGAGGTCAGAAGAGGGGTCTGATCCCCTGGAACTGGTGTTACAGATGGTTGTTAGCTACCATGTGGGTGCTGGGAATCAAATCCAGGTCCTCTGCAAGAGCAGCCGGTGTTCTTAACCACTGAATCATCTCTCCAGCCCCTCAAAGCATATTTTTTAATTTAATTTTTTGAGAATTTTATATAGGAGTACTGTATTTATATAATTTTCATTCTTCCTTTCCCCCTCCAACTCTTCTCACACCCTCCTCAATTTTGTGATCTTCTTTAATTAGTATTACTACAGCAGATTTTATAATAGGCAAGTCACTAAAGTAGAAAAGGCCAAGACTTAAGGTGAAACAAGACAAGTCTTAAAAAAAAGTTCTATCAGGCCAGCAGGACAGCCCAGTAGCTAAAGGTTCTTGCTGCCAAGCCTGACGACCTGTGTTGGATTCCCAGGACTCACGTAGTGGGAGGAGAGAAGTACCACTCGCAAGTTGTCCTCTGACCACCATATGTGCACTGCGGTACACAACACACACACACACAAAATATAATATATATTTTTAAGGAGTTGTAGTATATTCTACTAGAATATCCACAGGCAGTGGCTTACACTCTTGGCTATTCCATCATAACATAGGGTCATACACCTCCCTGGGCTGTCAGTTCATCAAATTAGACAATATAAATAAAAGATAATGGTAGATGCACAAAAATGCTTCCTTCCTCACTATATAAGGAGTCAAATACATGGCTTTTTTAAACCCTACAAACCCCAGCCAGCCTTTTGGGTTTTCAAAGCTATGGTTTAAAAATAACTCTGCCACTAACATTTTGATGGATGCTTTAAAAACAATGCTCCTTGAGAAAACAACAGAAAAGTTTCATTTGGCAAGACACGTTTCAGTTTAATTAAATTTGGAAACATATATTTACAGACAAATATCCTGGCACTTTTAAATAGTGCTATACAGGATTGTTTCCACTTTCTTTAAACAGCTCCGGAAGGAAGTTTCCTCAAAACCAAAGTATAATTCGTGTACTTTGGAAATGACAGAACAAAACAATGGCTACAATTGAGCTGAAAGTAAATGAAAACCTTCACCAATTCACCGTGAGAGCAGTGCTTTCAAAATACAGGCTAACTTTTTTCTGAACAAGGTCTCACTTGTAGCCCTGGCTGACCTGAACCTAGCTATGTAAACCAGGCTGGCTTTGAACTCACAGAAATCCACCTAGCTCTACTTCCAGAATGTTGGGATTAAAGATATGTGCTACAAACGCCAAGATAGATACATCCTATCCTTCTCAGGTAAATTTTATATTAAGATTTCTTCAAATTCTGAATTTGCAAGTTATAATAAACATACTATACTAGCCAAATCTCTACAAAGAAGAAAGGGTTGTCTCAAAGGCTTGGCAAACGAAACAATTTTAAAAAATAATTTTTGACCTTGCTTCTATAACAAAGATATTTCATATCAGTACTGTTTAGATGTTGAGAACAAGCAAAGCTCTTAACCCAAACCTTCATCAATACACAAAACACAAGCTCTCCTGGTTTCTTTCACATCCCCATAGTTTCTCCAGCACAAATCCTGCCACCAGCCTTGCTGGCTTCAGTATCTACATGAAGTGCCTGTGATAATATTCAGCACTTTTTGTGAATGCTTTTGATACGCCAGGTACTGTGTGAACATACTTTACACATTCAATAGAATTTATTTCACCTAATGCTCTGGGGGATTGGCACATTACTGTCCCCATTTCATAGACTAGGACACTAAGACAGAGGGCCTGTTAAATGCTTTATTCCAGGTCATACAGATGGCGAGAGGCAGAGCAGTACTTGTGCGGAGGCTGCATGGCTCACAGCACTTCACCAGCTTCTCTGCCACATCGTCTCTTCATCAGCACTCTCTTCATTTCCAGTAAGCTTCACTATCTTCCATTTTTGCCACCCACCCCTGTGCTCACACCCTAGTTCTTTTTTCATTACTGGGAATGGCTCCATTTCTGCAGCTCACATTCCATGCTCCCTGATCACCACTGCCTCCCACCTCCCTTGGCCCTCTTACTCACATCATTGCTATTCTTTGACCTCATGCAGAACTTCAAGCCCTCTGATCCTTCCATCTCCTGGTTCCTCCATCCCTGCCCAGCCTCCCTTCCTTCTCTGCCAACCTGGGAGCTCATGTCTGATCACAGAACAATTCTAGCTCCAGGGCCCATGACCAAACTGCATTCCTATGCTTCTAACAAATCTACTCAACAAAATGTCATCTCCATCTGCCTTTGAATAATCTAGGAGAGGAAGTGAGACAAAAGACTTATGGTAGAGGGTTACTATGAAATAATGTTAGTCATTGTTGATAAATGTTGAAACTGGACAATGACTCTATGAAGGGCCATTATATTTTTTACTTTCATACATTCGAAAATTTTTCATAATAAAATATTGATTTCAAATCATCATCTTGATACCCATGAAATAATGCAAGTAAAAAGTTATTTGTGGAATCCAGGTGGTAGAAATAATGCTGTGGTTACAGTAAAAATTCTTTCAAGCATATTTCATATCAGAAGTTTATATAATAAGATGTTAGGGGGACATCTCTATGCCCCCATAACTACATTGTAAAGACTCTGTTCCTAATCTGGGCATTTGAAGATGCTAGAGAAAAATAACCAATGTGAACTCTGAACTCAAACCATTAAAGTCAGGCAAGTCTTAGTAACAGGTATGAATCCCCCATGTCTCTGGGTACCCTGGGCTTTCCTCAGTGTTTACTCTCAAACCAGCGACCCCCCCCCCAACTCTCAGTAAATAACCTTGGCTTACAGAGTCCAAGGACATTATTAGTGCTATTACTCAATATTCCCCAAACTGAAGACATCATCCACAGCCTTCCTCATATCCTTCCAGGCCATTCCTTCCATTGTGCCTTCCCACCATTCCCACCCACTCACTTCTCATGTTAAATCTCCCTCCTCTCCTGGCTGCGTTCCCTCGGGTTATAAATACAAAGCATATGTCATTCCCATCCTAAAAGCACATCTCCTGACTCCATATTCCCTCCAGCTTGATTCTTTCTAATGTACTAGAGAGTGCAGACAGTCCTACAAACTCAAACCCTGCACCTATTCGCCTTTTACTGACCCTCCAGCCCACTGTGCTAGGCTTTCTTCCCGGATCACTGAATGCATGACCCTGGGATCTCCGCACGTCCCCAGTTAAGTGTTCCACTCTAGGCTCCTTGACAGTA